AGGCTACAGAACCTGGTCTGTACTGCTATTTATCCATAGCTGGGGGGAGAGAAAAAGAGGTTTCCCAAGAGTCAGTCAATTATGTGCCATGCGTGATACATGCTTAGGCGATCATTTATCTTTCGATACATGACTGACTAGGCAGATTTTTCCGCAGTATGCTGCTATTTCTTTCTACGGTAGACCAGTTGCAATCCAAGGCTATAGAACCAGGTCTGTCCTGCTATTTACCCATAGCTGGGTGGGGGAGAAGAAGATCCCAAGAATATTAGCACTTAAGTGAATTAATGGATTCGAATGGAATTCGAACTCGGCTCTCCGATTCTTCAATCCGAGCCACTATCCGTTACTTCACTTTACAAAGTAGCAAAGTAAAAACGTCAAAAATTGAAAGTGTTCAAACGCAAAAGGATACAGTTAGATGGTTATAATCTTCTGGCTTCAATGCAAGAAAGAAAAAAAATGTGTTGGTAAGACCGAGAACTGTTAATTTTTATTGACTATTGAAGAAATACCAGCATGCATCTGTAAGATTTGTTTATAAATTTGGGGGGAGGGGAATGTTTTTACCAGTCATTCCATGAGATTGAGACCAACAGTAAATTTCGAAATCAATTTAAATTAAAGCTGTTCCTGGCCGGTGGAAAAGTAAATAATGCTAAAAGACAAAGAAAAATAATAAACCTCATTCGCTTTTAATTTTCAAGTGGACCCCTAATATATGATCCGTTCAGTGGAGGAGGGGCGTACTTAACAAAAATCGAAAATATCTTTTTTCACTGCCAATTATTCCTTATATCATATCCAGGTATTTTACAAAAAAATAGAGCCGATTACACAATATTTCAAGCTCAATTTAGGTTTATACTTCTTAACCATGCAATGAGAATTGTCTGCGGAATATCATTACATTATTGTTACATAATTATAGTGAAAGCTCACACACACACACACATATATATATATATATATATATTATAATTTTTTTTCATATAGACAAAAAACAATTTACTCACTGCAAAGATGCAACCTTGTTTCGATGGATTTACTTGCACCTCGACAGGTGAGAACCAAAATGGTTATGAACAATTCTGTTTGTAAGCAGGCCGCACGTGGAATCTCACTTCCTTTTTTCTATATGTTTGAAAAAAAAGTAAATTTTAAGAGGGGGGCGTATAAGGATAAAGAAAAGATAGAAACGCAAAAGGGTGGTAGAGTGAAACAATAGTGCTTGTTGATTATTGTTTTGTATCGGTGTTGAGCCCTCTTTTGAAAATGCATTTTATTTTTGGTCGTATATTAATTTAAAATATACTTTTTTGCGGGCTTTATTTTTGAAATAAAATACGATCATTCTAAATTTCAGAATTTCGCTATTACGAATCAAAATGAGTGGAAGAAAGCGATCTAAAATCAACAATGGAAAAGAGAGAAACACAGCATTGCATCCAAAGTATTCTAAAATACTGCCTATAACAAAGAAGAAAATGAAAATTACTGAACAACAAATCAAATATAGCATAAAAATGTATAATATTTTTATTTATTTCTTATGTAACTAAATACATAATTGTCAACAATGTTTTCGTAAAACTTGATATTTCCTGTAATAAATTCTTAATAAATTATTATTGTTATTAGGTTGGTGCAAAAATAATGACGTAAGTATGCCGTTTTTTGACTTTAAAAAATACGTCAAAAAACGACATTATTACGTCATTATTTTTGCACCAACCTAATATTATTTTAATTAAGTGTAAGATAGTCCGACATTTACAATTCTTTACGGTTAACCATGAAAAGAAATGTTGATCAAAACTGCGTATTTAAGCGCGTATTGACGCAAACTTATCAAATGTTGAATACGCCTTTCCTCCGCCGAATGCCTCATATAATGCTAAACGAAAAGCGTAAAAAATCCCAAAATCAAAATGATCTCTCGCCAAAGTGCTGTAAAAATGGCTGGTTCCTTGGACCTCTACTGCCTCTCCCTATCTTGACAAGAGCCAGATCAGATCGAAAATGGCTGGATCTTAACCAGAGCTGCCCAATACTAACTTACCAGCGTAGACTTATCGTTCATGAATGGTTTTCAACCTTACAACGCCTATCCCCTAGACGAAACGTCGCTAGCCTCTCGCTACTATATAGATATTTTCAAGGTAGATGTTTGGGCGAATTACATTACTTGGTTCCAAAAGTCTAGACATTCACAGGTAGGACCCGCCATGACATAAAAACAATGTTGAATTATCCTTATTCACTTGATATTTTGGGGGGTCAGAAGGAAGATCTATCCAGAAAGATTCTTCCACGGAAATGTTGCATTGTGGAAAAGACTCCCGAGAGGATGTTTTCCCCGATCACTACAATCTTAATCTCTTCGGGTCTAAAGTCAACCGCTATCTATCCTTTGAATCTTATCTTGGATGGACAATAGTAAAAAAAATTTTTTTTTTTTTAAAAAGTCACAAACTTGAAGCTTCTAAAAAAGAAGCAATGTCGGTAATTCAAATATCAGTAGATGTACTCACCTCCTAAAGATTCGCGCGCTATCGATAACAAAAAAAACTTTCATTAAACACGCAAGGACAGCAACTGTAGGTTTCATTGTCTCTTTATCTAAACTTTATCTAAACTTCATTGACTCTTTATCTATGTTTATGTAAAGCCACTGTCGTTTCCACGCGTTCATGTTCAGGCATTTCTTATTTGAATATTTACTTCATTTCAAAGCTTTCCTATTTTAGTCGACTTTAAATTATACTAACTCACATTACTGATTTTCTATTTCCAATTTCTATCTAAAAACTATTGTTATTAGATCCTGTTAATATGTTGAGATCATTTTCTTTAGAATGTCTATGGCGATTTTCCCTTATAGAAAAAAAAAATAGAAAATAAATAACCTGGTTCAATAAGAGCACAAGTAAGGATTCTTCTTCGGTGTAGAATCGAAGAGAAAAACAATATGCTAATTTACAATAAATTTATGAAGAAGGAAAAGAAATATATTCTTTTGAATGCTTCATGAAAACTTAAGCTAAGTAGAGAAAAACGTTATTTACACTATTGACATTGTTTGGACTGTAGTTTCGGTCGTTATGAGCTCCGGTATTCTTCAGGTGATTGGAACTTATTGTATTTCTGAAGTACGAAAAATGATAGACTATATTTCTGAGATGAGGTATTGTACTTATTTACACTATTTATATTGTTCGAACTGTTGTCCTCATCATTGTTGCCATATTCATAGCGTTTCGGCCGTTGTACGCTTCGGCCTTCTTTAGCTGAATGGAACTTCGAACTGAGCCCTTTATTTCTTCCACCCGGGTTAGATTATTCTAGTTCCAAGTGCCATGCCTCTTTTGGATGTCTTAGTTAACTGGGCCATGTGTCCTGTCAAATAATCGACAGATTTTTAGAAATATATCATATTTCTGAAATACGAACAGTTGCAGTCTATATTTCTGAGATGAGGTATTGTAATTATTTACATATATTTGCATTGTTTGAATTTTTGTCTTGATTTTTTTGTTTTTAAAGACATTTCGGCCGTTGTACGCTCCGGTCTTCTTCAGGTGATTGGAATTTCGAACTGAACCCTTTATTTCGTCCATGGGGTAAATTGTTCTGTTTCCACAAGGACACATCGCACAGTAGATAAAAACGTTTGTTAGATCCAGTACTTGACCCACAGAATTGTGAGTTCAATGCCTGTTAACAAAAACTTTGAGATTTGGGTTAAAGAGAGATAACTAAAACATCCGGAAGAGACAATGGCACGTGGAACTAGGACAATGTTCCCCGGTTCATGAAATACTGGTTTCAGTTCGAAATTCCTATTACCTGAAGAAGTCCAGAGAGTACAACGGCCGAAACAACGTGTATATGACAAAAAAATTGAAGACAACAGTCCGAAGAATGTAAACAGTGTAAATAATTACAATATCTCATCTCAGAAATATAGACATAGTGCTTGTAAAAGTGAGACTTGCACAGTTGATAAAGTTAAAATGCCCATGCCAAAGGGTTATATCGAAATTTAACACGTAACTGTTAATGCTCTGAACTGACGTGACGAATTTTTAATTGTTGAATGAGGAGTGCCGAATGAAAAAATAATAAAAGCACAGACGAATCTTTGAGGAAGGAATGGTAGACGTTTGCTGGAACGTAGTTTCAAAACAAAAAACCCAATTATTACTTTTGACTTGTTGCCCGCAGTTTGGGTTGGTTACCTCCATTTTCGAGGTCTAACTCTCTTCCTCTCAGATGAAAAACATATTTGATGCATTTGACCCTCATCTATGTGGTTATCAACAAACGAGGTGTGAATGAATAGTGATATTCAACGACCTTGTTTATAGCTAGATCGGCAGACTCACGAAGGTATATTTTTTTTAATTAATTTTGGTTTCGAGTTCCGTTTCTCGACTTGGTGAAAAATAATCCATTGAAAGAGTGTTCGTTATCAATCCTTTTTTAACTACAGAATACAATTTTTGCTACTCTGAGCTAGACACAGCGTCGCCATAAACAAGCTCAAAATCAAGGCTTAACAAGAAATGTCCCGTCTACAGACGCCATTCGCTTTTAGGCACTATATGAAGTCAACTGAAGATGCATCGCTCTGGTATAATATAAAACCTGCCTTGTACCACATTATAATAATAGGGAATAGTTTAAAAAAATCTTGATGATTAATTACTATAATTTTTAACACGATCGAAACAACTGAATTAGAATTATTTCATTTTCAAACTTTACTTCTCTAATATTGTACGCTAAATATTAAAGAGAAAATTCAACAAACAACTGCCTGTCAAAATTTAAAGATTCGTGTCAAGGAAACGAAGAAGAAAAGAAAGGCAAGCAAGAGAGAAACAATGGGTAAAAATTATATTAAAAGAGACTTAAAAAAGAGGAAACCCAATGAAATAATATAGGAGGAAAGAAGACGAAAACGCTTAAATATGTAAAAAAAATGGAACTAAAAATTATATAAAGAAGAAAGAAGTTAATAAAGAATAAATAAAGTGAACGGTGTAGAAACTTACATAGAATGAGACAGGAAGAAGAAATGAAAAGAAAGAAGAAAAAATAGAAAACAAATTTAGAAGAAGACAGAGGAGGAAAAGAAAAAGTGGAAAATGAAAAAGGAGGATGAAGAGAAGAAGAAGAAGAAGAAGAAGAAGAAGAAGAAGAAGAAGAAAAGAAAAAGAGGAAAATGAAAAAGGAGGATGAAGAGAAGAAGAAGAAGAAGAAGAGGAAAATGAAAAAGGAGGATGAAGAGAAGAAGAAGAAGAAGAAGAGGAAAATGAAAAAGGAGGATGAAGAGAAGAAGAAGAAGAGGAAAATGAAAAAGGAGGATGAAGAGAAGAAGAAGAAGAAGAAGATGAAGAAGAGGAAAATGAAAAAGGAGGATGAAGAGAAGAAGAAGAAGAAATGAAAAAAAACGGAAGGGAGAAAAGAAGAAGAAGAAGAAGAAGAAAAATGAAAAAGGAGGATGAAAAAAAGGAGGATGAAAAGAAGAAAAAAGAAAAGAAGAAGAAGAGAAGAAGAAGAAGAAGAAGAAGAAGAAGAAAAAGAAAATGAAAAAGAAGAAGAGGAAAATGAAAAAAGAATGAAGAAAAAAAAGAAGAGGAAAATGAAAAAAAATGAAGAAAAGAAGAAGAAGAAGAAGAAAAAATGAAAAAGAAAAAGAAGAAAAAGAAAAAGGAGAAAAGAAGAAGAAGAAAAAAAAGGAAAATGGATGAAGATGAAGAAAGAAGAAAAATGAAAAAGGAAGAAGAAAGAAGAAGAAAAACAGGAAAATGAAAAATGATGAAGAGATGAAGAAGAAGAAGAAGAAGAAAATGAAAAACGAAGAAGAAGAAGAAGAAAGAAGAAGAGGAAAATGAAAAGGAGGATGAAAAAGAAGAAGATGAAGAAGAAGAAAAAGGAGGATGAAGATGAAGAAGAAGAAAATGAAAAAAGGAGGGATGAAAATGAAAAAAGAGGATGAAAGAAAGAAGAAGAAGAAGAAAAATGAAAAGAGAAAAATGAAAAAAGGAGGATGAAGAAAAGAAGAAGAAGAAGAAAGAAAAGAAGAAGAAGAAGAAGAAGAAGAAGAAAAGAAATGAAAAGAAAAATGAAAAGGAGAAAGAGAGAAAATGAAAAGAAGAAGAAAAATGAAAAACGAGGATGAAGAGAAAATGAAAAACGAGGATGAAGAGAAGAAGAAGAAGAAGATGAAAGAAAAGAAAAAGGATGAAGAAAAAAGAAGAGGATGAAAAAGGAGGATGAAAGAAGAAGAAAGAAAAAGAAGAAAAGAAAAAAAATGAAAAAGGATGAAGAGAAGAAAAGAAGAAGAGGAAAATGAAAAGGAGGATGAAGAGAAGAAAAAGGAGGAAAATGAAAAAAGGAGAAGAGAAGAAGAAGAAGAAAGAAGAAGAAGAAAAAAGAAAAATGAGAAAATGAAAAAGGAGGATGAAGAGAAGAAGAAGAAATGAAAAATGAAAAGGAGGATGAAGAAGAAGAAGAAGAAGAAGAAGAGGAAAATGAAGAATGAAGAAAAAGAAGAAGAAGAAGAAAATGAAAAAGGAAAAGAGAAAAAGAAAAAAATGAAAAAGAGGATGAAGAAGAAGAAGAAGAAAAAAGAAGAGGAAAATGAAAAAAAATGAAAAAGGAGGAAAAGGATGAAAGAGAAAAGAAAAGAAGAAGAAGAAGAAGAAGAAAAAGAAAAAGAAAAATGAAAAGGAGGAAAAAAGAAGAAAAGAAGAAGAAAAAAAAAAGAGGATGAAGAAGAAGAAGAAGAAAGAAGAGGAAAATGAAAAAGGAGGATGAAAAGAAGAAGAAGAAAAAAAGAAAAAGGAAAGAAGAAGAAGAAGAAGAAGATGAAAAGAGGAAAAATGAAAAGGATGAAGAGAAGAAGAAGAAGAAGAAGAAGAAGAAAAGAAAAAGATGAAAAAAGAAGAAGAAGAAGAAGAAGAAGAAAAGAAGAGGAAATGAAAAAGAGGAGAAGAAGAAGAAGAAGAAAAGAAAAGAGGAAAATGAAAAGGAGGATGAAGAGGAGAAGAAGAAAAAAGAAGAAGAAGAAAATATGAAAACGAGGAAAAGATTAAGAAAAAGGAGGATGAAGAAGAAAAATGAAAAGGAGGATGAAGAAGAAGAAGAAGAAGAAGAAGAAGAAGAAAAGGAAAATGAAAAAGGAGGATGAAGAGAAGAAGAAGAAGAAGAAGAAGATGAAGAAGAGGAAAATGAAAAAGGAGGATGAAGAGAAGAAGAAGAAGAAGAAGATGAAGAAGAGGAAAATGAAAAAGGAGGATGAAGAGAAGAAGAAGAAGAAGAAGAAGAAGAAAAGAAAAGGAGGATGAAGAGAAGAAGAAGAAAAAAGGAATGAAGAAAGAAGAAGAAGAAGAAATGAAGAAGAGGGAAAATGAAAAAGAGGATGAAGAAGAAGAAGAAGAAGAAGAAAGAAAAAAGAAAAAATGAAAAAGGAGGATGAAGAAAAAAATGAAGAAAATGAAAAAAAGGAGGATGAAGAGAAGAAGAAGAAGAAAAAAAAAAGAGAAAAAAAGAAAAAAAGAAGAGGAAAAAAAGAGAAGAAGAAAAATGAAAAAGAAGAAGAAGAAGAAAGAGGAAAATGAAAAAGGAGGATGAAGAAAAGAAGAAGAAGAAGAAGAAGAAGATGAAAGAAAAGGAAAATGAAAAAGGAGAAAGAAAGAAGAAGAAGAAGAAAAGAAGAAAGAAATGAAAGAAGAATGAAGAGAAGAAAAATTAAAAAATGAAAAGAAGAAAAAGGAGGAAAATGAAAAAGGAGGATGAAGAGAAGAAGAAGAAGAAGAAGAAGAGGAAAAGATGAAGAAAAAAATGAAAAAGGAGGATGAAGAGAAGAAGAAGAAGAAGAAAGAAGAAGGAAGAAAAAGAAAAAGAAAAAAAGGAGGATGAAAAGAGAAGAAGAAGATGAAGAAGAAAAGAGGAAAAAAATGAAAAAGGATGATGAAGAAGAAAATGAAGAAGAAGAAAATGAAAGAAGAAGAAGAAAAGAAGAAGAGAAAATGAAAAAGGATGATGAAGAGAAAAGAAAAGAAGAAGAAAATGAAAAAGGGATGAAGAAGAAGAAGAATGAAGAGAAGAAGAAAGATGAAAATGAAAAAAGGAGGATGAAAAAGGATGAAGAAAGAAAGAAGAAGAAGAAGAGGAAAATGAAAAAGAATGAAGAAAGAAGAAGGAAAATGAAAAGAAAGGAAGAGGATGAAGAAGAAGAAAAGAAAGAAAAAAAAGAAAATGAAAAAAAAGGAATGAAGAAGAAGAAGAAAATGAAAAAGAATGAAGAAAAGAAAAAAGAAAGAAGAAAGAAGAGAAAATGAAAAAAGGATAAACATTTAAAAAAAGAAGAAGAAGAAAAGAAGAAGAAAAAGAAGAAAATAAACATTTAAAAAGACAGAGAAAAGGAAGAGAGAAATAAACTTTAAAAGAGAATAAATCAGTAAAAATAAAAATAAAAATTAAAAATTCATCTTCAGGTCGCTTCTGCTTCGGGAATAAAGAATATGACAGAATTTTCTAAGACACATATCCGAGATTGTGAGAGAGAAAAAAAAATAACGGCTACACTTTTGTTTGCAGCTTTATTTTCATTTCCGTACACAAGCGGCTCCTCCAAATATTTTCAATAGCAAACCCGGCTTCTTTTCCACCGTAATTTTTATCCAATCCATTTCATGATACCGATCATGTGACTTGCTATAATTGTTCTTCGCATCTATTTGTGTCCTTGGGATACTATTCTGGTTTTCAGGTGGATTAAAATAGTTTTTAGCCAAAAGGAGGAATTGAAATGTATCAAAAAATCCCAATTTTCTTTATTCATCTCTTTAAATAACCACAACGGGCATTTATAGATTTTTTTCCCGTTTTCGAACTAATCCTTTCCATTAATCTTTCAGTCGATAAGCATTTATCGTGTTACAATGATAAGTTAAACTGAAATGTAATACATATCTACCACTGCGCGCCTATCTTCTTTGTACCTTGTCCCTTCAGGACGTTAACGATCATGGTTCTCCACATTTTCCTGTCCTTTGTAGATCTTTGTCTTTTTTGTGATCTCTGCTCAACTTTGTGTCGCTATCGTTTTCCTCACGCTCACGACGTAGGGTATGCATTATTTTTCTTTGTCGCTCTTGACTTCAATTTATCCTATGAGTATCAAATTTTCTAAGCCCTCTTTTCTCATTATGCACCCTGGAAATTTCAACTACCTCTTCTTGATGTTAAATATAAGTGTCCTTTCGTATTTCATTTATCTAAAACGTTGTCATGGCTCGCATATTTGGTTCGTGATATTCTCAATATCCTTCTGTAGAACCACGTGTCTATTGCTTCAAGTCTCTTCCTCCTCAGTGAGGAGATGTCCAGCATTCACCACTATCCAGGAGGACAGATACCTCAAAGAGCAAAACGCTTGCGATATTTCGCCTATGTGAAAATTGTTTTAGACATTATAGAATTTTACTATTACTTTACTTCCTCACGTAGATAGATAGATAGATAGATAGATAGATAGATTCTAATGTAATGAGAACGAAAATAGTGTATAAATTCTAACGTTCACAGCATTAGTTCAAAAGAGGGCTCAACACCGATACAAAACAATAATCAACAAGCACTATTGTTTCACTCTACCACCCTTTTGCCTTTCTATCTTTTCTTTATTCTTATACGCCCCCCTCTTAAAATTTACTTTTTCTTTTCAAACATATAGAAAAAAAGGAAGTAACATTTCATGTGCGGCCTGCTTACAAACACAAGTGTTCATAACCATTTTGGTTCTCACCAAATGCACCGAAACAAGGTTGCATCTTTGCAGTGAGTAAATTGGTTTTTGTCTTTATGAAAATAGTTTATATATATATATATATATATATATATATATATATACTAGCAGTAGAGCCCGGCGTTGCCCGGGGATGTAACAGTAAGAGATAGATCAAGTATCAACCATCATAAAGACTGAACAATAAAAATGACAAAGATTATTGTTTAAGGTTGACGGACACGCATGTCTTAATTAGTTTTTTTTGTTTTGTTTTTTTTTACGAATTGGTCAAACCCAAACTCAAACAAAAACATTGTTTTCAGTCGTTATGAGTCTATCGATTGAATAGAATTTTATTATAAACAATTGTCTTGTAAATGGAATTTTTAAAGCATTCTGAATGTAAAAATAAAGAAAAATGTGTGCAAGACAATAAGAAATACTACCTGCCAAAAAAAGTGAAGTTTTGTTGAAATCGGGTGAAAAATGTAGGAAATCCGATCCCATATATAAACGAACACACACACAAACAACCTGGGTTTTATAAGTATAACTCGATATGAGTTGTCCCCATTTCATTCTGGCGACAGAATCGTGTTTTATCGTGTTTTCAAATTGATTTTGTGTAAAAACAATTGTGTCTTTCCCATCTTTGGCGCTGTCAGAACCACCGCAAGGTAATTTTACGCAGTCCTGTGAAGTTTTGTAGAAATCAGTTGAAAAATGTAGGAAATCCGATCCAATATATAAACGTACAGACACCCACACACACACACAATCTATATATATATGCACCCAAGTATAGGACTGGTGTATACGGAATAAATAACCAAAAACTACTATTCTTAAAAGAGTGCTCAGTACAGAATAGAGCAAATATAATTATTTATTAGAAAATTATAACATAAATATGTTATAAAATCGCTACAAAAATAGCCATTTTGTTTCAACACTTCTGGTGTCATAAAGTGATGGTGTTGAACGTAGAATGTAGTGGGCGTTGATACGACACCAAAAATGTTGAAACAAAATGGCTATTTTTGTTGCGATTTTATAACATATATATGTTATAATTTACCAATAATAATATATATATATATATATATATATATATATATATATATATATATATATATAGAGAGAGAGAGAGAGAGAGTGAGAGAGACAGACAGATATAACTAAAAATATAAATGTAAAAGAACAATATATATATATATATATAAGGACTAAAGAAAAACTATCAGGCACTCTAGCAAAAACTCCACTTGTTGGTAAAATTAGCTCCTCGCATATAAAAAAAATCTCTGTTGATCTTTTAAATAAATTTTAAAAAACATAAAAACAAATATATGACTAGTTTAGACATAAAATCTTTGACTAAAAACACACTTAAGAAAAATAAAATTACCTCTTCCTACGCAGAAGATCATAAAATATGCCATTTAAGCACTAATCAATGTTTTTGATTTACCGATGTGGGTCTCCTTTTCGTGGCGTTTTGGCTTGTCTATTTTTGTAATTTCTAGAAAGTAGTCCTTTCAAAAATATTTTACCACAAAATTCTTCTTATTTAAGATTGATAGATGTTTCTCTGTTAACATATCCGCAAAAAAGTACTTTACCCGACCTTGTCTACAAACTTAGTAAAGTCGAACCGACAATAGATTATACGTTTGAATTTGAGTTTAACAACACTTTTTCCTTCGTACATATCTAGCTACATTGAACTACTAACGACTTTCAGGTGGAGGTTTACAGAAAAGCCACCAACAGGAATGACCATATCATTTTTTATCTCTACCACTGTAACCAGATAAAATCTGAAGTAATTGTAAGATTTTATTGAAAAGCACTAAGAATATGCATCCCTAATACTTATATATATATATATATATATATATATATATATATGTGTGTGTGTGTGTGTGTGTGTGTGGAAAGAGAGAGGATAGATAGATAGATAGATAGATAGATAGATAGATAGATAGATAGATAGATAGATAGATAGATAATGCCCCCGCTGACTACTAGATTCGACACTACCATCACTGTCTCTTTTGTATAATAAAACGAATATAGAAAAGAAAACCATCTTTTGTTGATACATTTTATAAAATGGCGGCAATGCCCAAGGGGCTGAGGCCAGTGGAGAGACGGATTGCAAGACTAGAGAATAAAAAATATCCTCTCAAGGTGGAATAATATATAAGGTTAAGTCATAAGTAAGTTTTTGGAACCAATTGTAATGCCAAATATATCATCCTAACTCATCAATTAAGAATAAATTTAGAGTACACAAATGTAACTTAGATTTTGCACAGCAATTTATACTTGATTTTGTTTCAAACTGTGAGTCGGGTTAAGTTTTCAAAACTTAAATTTATAATGCATTATAAAATTGTGAAACGAGAAATTTATTACGTCGAATATTTTTTTATTCATTTCGCCCCAAGCAAGATAATAAAGATGCAAGGATTTACAGAATGTGGGAGAGTATGAGTAAAATGCTACTATCAAGGAGAGAAAACAATAAAGGAACAAGAAATAAGAAGACAGAATATAATGATTGACATCGCATTTAAATTTCTCTGATGGATACTAAAACGAATGGTATTTGGTCATTGTTCAAATGGATTGAACGGGCAACCTTTCAGCACCTGTTCGTACATTCGTAACTAGCCTGATATCTATCTATCATTATATCTAGCTATCAGTCTCAGTATGCTTATCTATCTACCTATCTATCTATCTATCTATCTATCTATCTATCTATCTATCTATCTATCTATCTCAGTATGCTTACCTCTCTTCTTATCTATCTCAGTATGCTTACCTCTGTTTCTATATATCTCAGTATACCTATTATCTATCTCAATATACATATCTCTTTATATCCATCTCAGTATTCTTATCTATCTATCTATCTATCTATCTATCTATCTATATATATATATATATATATATATATATATATATATATATGTGTGTGTGTGTGTGTGTGTGTATTAGGTTGGTGCAAAAATAATGACGTAAGAATGTCGTTTTTGACGTTAAAAAATACGTCAAAAAACGACATTATTATTTTTGCATTAACCTTATATATATATATATATATATATATATATATAGATAGATAGATAGATATATAGATAGATAGATATCAGTATGCCTGCAGTATGATTAGGTTGGTGCAAAAAATAATGATTTTTGACGTTAAAAAATACGATCATTAAAAATATATATATATATATATATAGATATATATATATATATATATCAGATATAGATATATATATATATATCAGTATGCCTGCCTATCTATCTATCTATCTATCTATCTATCTATCTATCTATCTATCTATCCAGTATCATTATTATCTATAATTATGACAGAATCAGCAGGCATATGTCAGGTTGAGTCATATGAGATCAGAAATAATCATTTTTTCATATTGATAGAAATAAAGGACGCCAGATGAAGATTATAATTTTTTTAAATTTTTTAATTGTTATCTATCTATATCAGAATGCTTATCTATCTATCTATCTATCTATCTATCTCTCTCTCTCTCTCTCTCTATATATATATATATATATATATATCTCATATATATATATATATTATCTATAAGTATCATTATTATCTATCATTATGAAAGAATCAGCAGACATATGTCAGGTTGAGTTATATGAGATCAGAAATAATCATTTTTTTCATATTGATAGAAATTAAAGACGCCAGATGAAGATTATAATTTCTTTAAATTTTATAATTTTAGTAGGGGGTCCGTTTCGCTATTTAAATTCGTTGTGAATTGATCCCCCTACGAAAACCAAAACAAAACAAGCTCATACCAAGTGATTTCATAAAATGTCAAAAAAAGGCTTACGGCCATATCACGTTGAAACACCGGTTCTGCGTAAGATCGCCGAAGTTAGGTCAGCATCTGGTCAGTATTTATATGGGTGACCACTTGGGAATACCAGGTGCTTGTAACCTTGGATATGCGGCTGGTTTAATGGATAAGTGTTAATCGGGGAGCCGAGTTCAAATTACACTTGGGTTCGTCATACTCACAGGCAAATACCTTTGGAAAATGCATGCATCCATCATTCCCCTCCCCCGCTATGGGTTAATTAGTAAATCATTATTATCACCACCACCACACCCGCAAAAAAATTATGATCTAAAAATATTTTCTAGCTTTAAATAATCTGCAATCAATCAAAAATTTTAATTTAAAATTTTAATTTAAAATCTGTATTCTGTTTTTTTAATTAAATTCGGAATTATTAATACATTAGTGGAATTAATTGCTCAGTACACAAAAATAGAAGTAAAAGTAAGACAATGATGTGTCTTCTCACCGGATTTATTTAATCCTCACTTCCCACCACCAACTCTTACATTACTATCACATATCGTATTCAATAAACCTCTACCTCGAGTTGCTCTCGAGAACTGTACTGGTTGAACTTCTGTATAACAATAAAAGCTTCCTGGGGTGAAATTAAAAAAAAACAATTAAAAAAATATGTCCTATTAATAGATGTAAAATTTTGGGGAATATTTTGAAAAGAAATACAAACAGGAAACATTTGGTATCGTTCGGTCCTGACGAGAAATTTTCGAAGAATTTATAAATAAAGGTCTGATTTAGATTTTCGGTTTGTTTGATAGAAATAAATATGAGGCGAACATTTCTTAACTTAATAGGAATCGCGACTCTGATTCTAACCCAACTATCTGAGCTTTCTTCCATAACTCTTGTCTGCAATAAAAATCATCTTTAATGAATAAAATAATAAAACCAAGTCCCCGTTGGGCGAAATAAAGATAATAAATCGCCGTAAAGGTTAAAGATTATCAGAGCTATGAGGGATGCCGTCGAATTATCACTTAAAAAGATATAAGACAGATAAACCAGAAGACAAAATGTGAAAAAAAAAACGATTACGATGACGACGAAAGAAAGAAAGAAAAAAGAAAGAAAGAAAGAAAAGTAGAGGAGAAGGAAAAAGAGGAAATAAAAAAAGGGAAAATTATCAGGTGATAATGAACGGATTTTATTGAAAAAGTGTGTAAATATGGGGAAGAGAATGAGGAGAAGGAAAAATAAAAAAGAGAAAAGAAGATGAAAAATGGGTGTGGGGGAGAAGGAAGAAAATGAGGAAAATAAAGAGAGGAAGAGAGAAAAGAAGAAGAAAGTGGGGAAGAGGAGAGAGAAGAAAATAAGGATAATGGATAGGGGAGGAGAGGAAAGAAAAAGAAGAAGAAAAGGGATGAAAATAATGAGGATGAGAAAAGAATTGGAAAAGAAATATGACAAAGAAAGAAAGAAAGAAAGAAAGAAAGAAAGAAAGAAAAGAAAGAAAGAAATAGTAAGCAAATAGAAATAGACATTATACTACTGCTAATATTACTATGACGAATAAGAGAGTGAGGAAGAAGTAGAAGAAAAGAAAACGAGGGGTAGAGAGGAAAGAAGGAAATCATAAAGAAATAAAGGAAATGAGGGAAACTACAAGAACGAGGAAGGAAGGAAGGAAGGAAGGAAGGAAGGAAGGAAGGAAGGAAGGAAAAATTTTTTAAAAAGAGCTAGAGGACGTGGGGGAAACAACAACTACTGCTACTACTACTACTACTACTACTACTACTAAGAAGAAGAAGAAGAAGAAGAAGAAGAAGAAGAAATAGTAAGCAAACAGAGACGTTATAATACTGCTAATACTACTATGAAGAAGAGGAGGACAAGGAAGAAGTAGAAGAAGAAGATGAGGAGAACAAGAAAGGAAGGAAAGAAATAATAACGGGATAAAGGAGGAAAAGGAAACTGCTACAACGAGAAAGAAAGAAAGAAAGAAAGAAAGAAAGAAAGAAAGAAAGAAAGAAAGAAAGAAAGAGCTACAGAAAACAATTACTACTACTGAGAAGAAGAAGAAGAAGAAGAAGAAGAAGAAGAAGAAGAAGAAGAAGAAGAAGAAGAAAACTGAAAATTAGATGAGAGATGGACTGAAAATTTAAATTTGCTTAGGAAAGAGAATGAAGTATTTTTCCAGCAACTGCGACGTGAATAGATCGCGAATAAAGAATTATATATCAATAAACCCATCCATTTTTATATCAGACGGAAGGTAGATTATCGGTGTGTAACTTTATCTTTCATAATTTTCTTTTCTGTATATACAGATTGTACGATTGATTTTGCCATCATTCACTACTACACTCTGTCTGCTTTTATTATGCATGTCAATGCTTTTACAATAATATTGACATTAACCAACTGTCAAGATATCTTTGATATATGAAGAATATATTGCAAGAATATCAACTTATAATAACTATTCTTATTGTAAATATTGTTAAAAACTTGTTTGGGATTTTACGGCTCCCATAACCTATTATGGCCGTAGGGGTACCATATATAATCCAGCCACAGTACACGTGGAATTTTCTGAGTAAGATAGTTTTACGGAGTCCGACCCTCTCCAGGCTGGTTTGAAATGAGAGATATTCTTCTACTAGACTAGTCGCCATCCAATGCTATAGGAGCTAGTCTGTCCTGCTATTTGCTCATAGCTCAGACAAAAAAGCTGGAATTTCACAAGGGTATTAGCACGTAAGTGAATATTATGAACTCGACTGGAATTCGAACTCGGATCTCCGATTCCTAAATCCGAGACGCTATCATGTCTTCACGGGATTTATTATACAGAGGGCAACATCGGTTTTTATTTATAAAAAACGTAAAACGAAGAGAAGAAAAACATAGATTATCGAAACATAAACTTGATTAAGACAATATATAATATTAGGCAAATCTCGGTCTTGCGAACATTTCTCTTAATAATAATTTTAGAATAATTCAGCAGACGATGCTATTTTATCTATGGTAACTTGATTTTTAGCGATTGCCATACTCGATTTCCGTCTTTCGATAATGTGTGCCTGAAAAATTTACCTTTTATTGCGGTCGCCATCGTTTCGACCGGGGACGGTGCTAATTAATATTAGGTCAAACACTTTAGTGTCTTCTCCCACCCCTAGGCATTACCTTGAGTGGAGTCTGAGTTCATTGCCCTGTGCCTGAGACGTCCCCCAAAAGTTCCGACGGGGCTTCGCCAATTTTTCTGTGGTGTTGCTGTTAAACCCACTTTTAAAACCTCGACCTTGTATCATTTTCGGTGCAACGTGGACGCTCTGGTAAATACAATCGGCTGCGATCAAAGTGTAGTATCTGCCCGCGGGCTGATAAAGTACATTTCCTCTTTCACTTGTGTCCCTGACTTCGGACAGAGTGCAGCTGAAAATATTAATGAAAGTAGCGCCCTCATTGTACTAAAGAGTAGAAAAAGGTAGTGATACCGATGCCAGCGCAACCGACGCAACCGGGGGAGGGGAAGAAATTCTGGGTTATATTGGAACCTGACCTGGATGCACGCGCTCGGACTCCCGAATTAAAACTGACCTTGTGACATTTCCTGCCAGCCGGGTGTGGCAAGAAAATACAATCACTTCTCGGTCTTTTGGCTAAGATCAAAGTGTAGTATCTTTTCTCATCAGCTTAATCTGATACTCTATCTACACTTCTATCTTCCCCTCTTTCTTTCTTTAATTTTCTCACTGAAGCCAAGTAAGTGCTTTTCGTTTCTTTCCACGCGATCAAAACGTAATAGTCCATTATTTATGAGAAATTGGCAGGGCGTAAAGGCCGTGCGAACTATCGAATGTTGATACAAGCACAGTTATGATGGGATAACTAAATTGTAGACATCAGAATCAAACAAATCGAACTATCTGGAATGTGTTTTAATAGACGACGAAAAATGAAAACATTGAAATTCGAAGATATATTTAAATAGTGAAAGATGCTTTCCAAACATAAACAAAGAAACACGAAAATCTCGCTAGAAACACGAAAATCTCGCTAGAAACACGAAAATCTCGCTAGAAACACAAAAACAGTGCCGAACTCCTATGTGATATTAATCCTCTTATATGGCAGTGAATACAAAGAGGAGACTTGAGGCAAGAGAGATGTAGTGTTATACATTGATCGATTCCTGTTCTACGGCTTATTAAACTTTTGCAGATTATTTAAGGCGAGAAAGTATTTTAGATTGTAATAATTTTTTTGAGATAATAATGATTTACTGATAAAAATCGTAATAATCTATAACTGGGAGCAAAAAAACGTAGATTCATACGTTTTCCCAAAGACAATTGCGTGTAAGTGAATATAACGAACCCAACCGGAATTAGAACTCGCCTCTATGATTTCAAATTCCGAGCCGTTATCCATTACACCACCTGCACATTCAATCTTGCAGCACCTGGTACTCCCAAGCGGTTACACATCAATATACTGAATAGTTTTGATGCTGCGTATGAGAACCGGTGTTTCCACGTAATGTGGCCTGGTCCTATAAAAGGCTGTTGAAAATATTAGGTTGGTGCAAAATAATGTCGTTTTTTGACGTTCAACTTCAAAAGATCATAACTCCTTTCATAATAAACTTTATTAATCGAAATAAGAACCATTAGAATCGACACATTTTTGCCAACGAGAAACAAGTTTATTTATCCCATTAGCATAGAAATCCGGTGTTCTGGAAGCGATGAAGTCATTGAAGGCCGATTCAGCATCATCTCGGCTTTTGAAGCATTTTTCGCGCAGTAAGTTGTCGAGATGCTTGAAAAAGTGATAATCGGTGGGCGAGAGGTCCGGTGAATATGGCGGATGAGGCAGAGTCTCGTAGCCCAATTCGTTCAGCTTCTGCAGAGTCAGTTGTGCAACATGCGGGCGAGCGTTGTCATGGAGGAGAATTGGTCCCTTCATATTGACCAATCTCGGTCACATACGTTGGAGCTTCTGGTGCATTTCGTCAATTTGTCGGCAGTACTTCGCCGTAATCGTTTCGCCCGGATTCAAGAAGCTGTGATGGATGAGACCGGCCGCAGACCACCAAACAGTCACCATAACCTTTTTTTGGTGCAATTTCGGCTTCGGGATTGTTGTGGAGCTTCTCCGGCATCCAACCGCTGTGCCGAACGTCGCCGGTTGTCGTAGAGGATCCACTTCTCATCACACGTCACAATCCGCTCGAGAAATGGGTCGTTTTTGTTGCGCAGAAGGAGCGTAGAAGACACCTCAAAACGACGATTTTTTTGGTTATCGTTCAATTCATGCGGCACCCATTTATCCAACTTTTTTGACTTCCCTATTTGCTTTAAATGGCGAACGACTGTTGAGTGGTCGACCTCGAGTTCAACATCAACTTCTCGTGTGGTTTTGCGAGGATCGGCTTCAATTAAGGCTTTCAAATGTTCGTTATCAACCGCAGTCAGCCGGCCGCGACCGTCTTCATCTTCAAGGCTCTCGTCACCATTGCGAAATTTCTTGAACCACCGTTGTGCCACACGTTCGTTAGTGGTTCCTGGGTCAAACACATCATTGATATCACGAGCTGTCTCGGCAGCTTTTCGGCCTAGTTTGAACTGAAACAAGAAAATCGTGCGGATTTGAATTTTGTCCATGCTGTCGAAAAGCCTGCAAAAAAATGAATGAAGATATTGAGAACGGTAACGAATAACACGATTCGATAGAGCGAAAAATGCGCTTCAAAATGATATATAACATGGCTATATATATATATATCAATGAATTAATTCAGAAGTCATATATAAAAGTAACATATGTGAGAAAACGACATTATTTTGCACCAATCTAATACTATAGACGGAACCTTTTTTTTACAGTGGCTTTTACCTTCTACAAGTCCCGAGAGCAACTCGAGGTAGAGGGTCAACACAGTGAGACGTACAAGTTATGTTATTTGCGGAAGATAATAACCCTAGACTTGAACAGGCTAAGATTGTAGTGATTGGGGAAGCATCCTCTTGGCCCTGAATAGAGACGATTCATAAAAAAGAAGAAAGTATACATTTTCATATTAAAAGGACACATGGCACAGTGGATAAAGGCGTTGGTTCGATCCAGTGACACGACCCAAAGAATGTGAGTTCAATACCTGGTTAAAGCAGTGGAGAACTTTCGGAGCGGAATTAACAGAAAATAACTGACATCCATTATACATGGCACGTGGATCTAGAACAGTCTACCCCAGTGAGTGAAATAAAGCATCCAGTTCGACATTCCAACCGCCTGAAAAGAGCCGGAGATGAGGACAATAGTCCGAATAATATAAATAGTGTACAGGAAGAGACAGTTGAAATTTCTGGGACTTGGAGAATTTGACACTGGCAATATAAAATACTGAAGGTAAGACTGACAGCGAGAAATTGCGGGTATACTAACAACCTTGTGGTAAAGGACAGCAGAACCGGTAAGGGGACAAATATTACTTAGAGCTACAAAGTATAGGAAATCGTGGAGAGCCATGATTAATACTTTTACATGTCAAAATGAACTCCTTTATATTCTATAACATTCGTCAGGCTTTCAAATTTTGAACATTGATTGCAGCAGTTCATTCTCATATAGATCTCTTTTAATAATAGCAATTAACCCTCGATTTGAGGAGGTTACAAATTGTAGCGTTGGGAGAAGCAGTAACGCGGGAGTATAAGTTGAACATCTTTACAATTGAAATACGGTGAAAATTTCAGGTATTCGAATCAGTGAACATACTATGGCGAGCCCTAGCTATAAATGTCTGAATTGGTGGTAATCATCTGAACATTTGCCATGGAAGTAGCGATGGAGGGGTAGGCTTACAGTGTAGAGGTCTATGAGAAAGAGGCTGCAGAATGAAAAGAGTCACCCTCTAAAAGGCCGTGTAAAAGATTTTTAACCCTATCAAGGCTGAAAGTGAGAATTGAACCACTCCAAACTAGATATGGCAGCAATCCTCCAGCTGACTCTCTTCCATCCTGGGTGTGACGATAAACTACATCCGTTTCCTGGGTAAAACGATAAACTACGTCCAACAGCAAGGCCTTTGTTCAGGAGGTTTTCAGGAGCATGGAACCACCTCTTAATTGCTTGTGTTCCCAGTTCTACCCTGACCCGGGGTGGTAGCACCTGTTAGGGTCCCAGCTATGGGCAAACAGTTAACAGCCAAATTTGGGTCAAAATACTATGTAAGTGTA